GAATCGTAAAATCTGCAAAATCGAGAGAGTTAAAAAACTCGTCGCGTGAATATACCTGTACGAAATTCGTAAAGTTGAATTGATTGAGCGGCGTCGTGGTGATGTACTCGGGTTGGTCGCAAATAATAGGATATCCATTATCCTCGTTGAAATCGACGAAGGAAAGTTCGGTGGCATCGGAAGGTGTTGGAAAACAATTCACCACTTGCAAATTCGACGTGAAAACTCCACCGGAGGGGCAGCATTTGTTGAACGCATAAGAAACATCGATCAACAATAAAACGATCATAAAATGTCTCGTCGTCGTCATTATCGTGAATAATCTTGGAATTTTTTCGAAACGAATTCGACCCGAATAAACTATTTCACGTCTCGAAAAATCAAAAGGAGACGCTTTTTCACCTCTTGGATCGAAACGAGATACCGATAGTAGAGGGTTAAATTTCTCTTCCTTCGATGAACAATAACCCGATAATGGACACGGGTATCCGTGACGAAGAGGCACTGCACAATGTATAATATCGCCAGTTTATTTTATTATATTATTATCAAACGTCGAATTGGAAAAAATTGGGAATGAACGAGAGAGAGTGAAGATCACGACGGATCACGAGTTTCTACATGTTGATTCTGCTCTTGAAAAAAGTTTGACTCATGCACTTAGGCTTCGATCCTCGTGCCGTATGCATAGATCTTCCAAGAATTCGCCGTTCTACGATTATACTTCACCTCGATTTATTCCTTTACCACTTTATTTATTTCGTTTGTTCGTTGAACATGAAAGAGACTCGCGAGCGATTTTAATACTTTCGCATTTGAAGAAACTTGTGTGTATATATATATACATATAAACGTTAAAGAATTTAAAGCCTCTTAAACGATAATTGGAGAAAAGCAAATTGGGAATCAAGCGTGAACGAGGAGATTTTTCCAAGAGGTTTCGTATTTGTATATGTTCGAAAACGTTTTGTCGTCTGTGTGCAGGATTGATAAGGCACAGTTATAAATACTTAACGCGCGCGATCGATATCGTTGCTCGTTACTCTACCCCATCCAATTCTATTCCCACAGGTAATCTTCAAGCGATTCAACGTAAGCTCGTCTCTGGTCGATTAAATCGTCGCTTTCGTTGCATAATGCAGCGCGATGCAACGCACGCAATCGCATCGACGCAGATAATCTCTGGAGGGAGACCGGACAATTACGAAGGAGCTATCTTCTGCTCGAAATTAGCGCGGCGTTACTCGTTGAAAAGTAATCGTTATGGCTCGGCCGTGGTTCCAAAATCCGAAAATTTTCCCTCGATTTCTCCTCGATCGTCGTCGATCGAAAGTTTACTCCGGCCGATAAGCTGTTGCAACTTTTTTTTAATTTAATTTCTCAACCTCACCTTTCTCACTTAGATCAATCTCTGAAGAATCGGATCTCTAAGAATTATCAGAAGCAAACGTTCCTTCTCTAAATGGTTTTGTTACGAGAAATATAATAACTCGTGAATAATCGTTAAAGGTTCGCACTCAACTCGAAGCTTCGAACTACACTTTTCCTTCTCTCCACTTTCCACTCTCCCCCTCCCCCCTTCCTCCCTCCTTTTAATCACGACTATTCCACCACCTTTTAAACCGCGAGACCCTTCCACCTCGCTAGGTGTACAATTTATTTACGACCAGACACCTTCTCTTCTTCCCTCCCCAGAAGCAAGGATCAAATCGAAGGATTATTAGGAACGAAACAACGCGTCCAATCTCACTTTCGTTCACCGCTCCTCCGAACTCGCGACATTCTTTCTCCTCGAATCCTACAAAGTTTCTCCATCCAACTCGATCCCTTCATCCCCCGACAAGCTTCTTCCACACCACTTTTTTTCTTCTTTATTGAGGATCCCCTCGATTCGAACGCCACTTGTCACCCCCGCGGAGCCTTCTGCCTTGTCTGCCAGCAGGTAAACAGAGAGGTGGACAGTGGGAGAGCCTCCCTCTACGCGCGAGTAAATTGAATTTGGAAATGTCGCGACACGAAGATACGCTGGTTTCGCGGAATTGGAGCGATCGGCGTGCGAGGCGGCGAACACGGGCGCAGAAACGCGACTGTAGGTTCGCCACGAGCGGAGATCGGAGCGAAATTCGACTAGGCTTGGCCGTGGGAGAGCATAACGACAAGAAGACACACGACGCGCCTCTTTCTCTCCCTTCTCCGCTCCGGCCACGTGTTTTTCTTCTTCTTTTTTCTCCCCTCGCGTTCGTTTATTTTTTCCTCCTCGTAATTTCGATAAATGGGGAGGGAGGGGGGGGGGGAATCGAACTTTGGAATCGTTCTTGTTTTCGTTCTTTGTTTCGTCGAAATTTTTCGAGAAAGTGAGCGATTCGGGGGTGGATCGAGAGAGGGGGTTTATGGAGAATACGAGTGCGTGATCGATACGATCGGTTTTAATCGCGTTTTGAATGTTCAAAAGGAGGAGGAGTTGATAGAATAGGATATGGCGTAGAATTTTTAATCGATGTATCTTGTATCGAGTAAGTGGATAATTGTAAGAAAAATATTTTGTAATCCTTCTCGTATACCAGTTAATTGCATATTTAAAATGTTTTGATTAATTCGTGATCCGTGGAATGAATAATTGAAAGAAAACTGGTCGTCTGTTTTTTTTTTTTCCCTCTTCTTTTCCAAGTAAGATGACTTTGAAGCGATACAATGTATGGGTTATATACGTGGTACATAAAGGCTTCTACGTGTTATACGCGAATCGTTTTTAGTATCTTTTTCGTCCAATTATCCGTGTTGAAACAAATGATTCAGCGTGAAACAAGTCTCTCCCTTTATCTTTTTTTTTTTTTCTATATACAAAGAATGATTCTGAATTTCTCTGTATCGGTATCGTTATAAAAAAGAAAAAGACATTCTCTTGTTATAAACATATTTTTTTTCTTCCTTATCTAACTGTATGACCGTATTATTATTATTCCAATTAATTCTTTTAGAGATTGTCCACACTGATTAAATTCTACGAACAAATATAACAAAAATATAACATAGACCTAAACGTTCCTTCACCTCCACTTTTACCAATTTTTTCGCGCGAGGCGTGTAAAAAAAATAAAAAAAAAAAGTAGGAGCGCGCCTCCATCGAAGAAGAATACAAATTAATTTCAGTCCGTGTTTACCTCTCTCTGATTAATCGTCTTCGTCGCGGACCGCGCTGTCGTTTACCCATCTTTCCATCCTCCTGTGCATACTCTCCGTTGGATTTATCCTTTCTCTCCTTTCTCTCCTTCGTCTCTCTCGAAACAATTTTTTAACTAGGGCCGCCCATTCGTTAGTCACAGAGCGGTGTGTATGTACCGTGGAAAACGATGGAGGTTGGGGAAGGATGGATGAAACTTAATTCATAGCCGGGTACATAACCTCTTAGTCAGGATGAGCGCGAGACTTCTAATTAATCTTCGAAAGATCTCGACTCGTAAAATATCGGGCGAATGTTTCATCTCGAGCTGCATCTCCCGCTCCTCGATTTCCTTATATACTTCTCTCATATCCTTCCGATATCCCTTTTCTCCGTATTATAATGCATTATAACGCAGTGCAAGATGTATTCTAGAATAAAAGTGTCGAGAGAATTAACTCTCGCAATCAGTCTTATTACATCAAAATGTTATGTTTTTACACATTCCTTTCTATTCTTAGTCTCCTTTATCTTTCTTCGATCTTTTTTTGGGGGGAGGAGGGGATCTTTCGAAATCGTGCTCTTTGTAATTCTCTCTTTTTATCGACAGTCTTCCTTCGCTTCTCTACTCTCGTTTCTTATTCGTTTTCGTTTTTAGTTCCCATTCGCTAATATATTTGAAAATAAAAATCTCGAGAATTGCTTCGTGTTGTCCAATAATAACTTTCATGAAAATTAACTCTTACAACAAATGTTTTCCTATTCTGAGTCTTCTTTATTTTTATTCCTCCATTTTATTAGCAGTCTTTCTCCACTTCTCTAGTTTCATTCCTCAACTCTTAGTCTCCTAGTTCCTTATTCGTTTATCGCTTCCTTTCGCTAAAGTGCAAATACATTCGAGGATAAAAGTTTCGTGTTGTCCATCCAAGAATAATTTTCACCTGTAAAAATTGACTCTTACAAACAGTTTTATTTATCTCAAATGTTTTGCTCGAGAAACCCTTAACAATCTTCCCTTATTCTTATTCTTCCACTCCTTTATGCTCCTCGTAATATGCTCTTTTCCATTTAATAATCTTTCTTCGCTTCTCTGTTCTCATTCTTCTTCATTTTTAGCCTCGTTCCTTTCGGCTTTCTCGTTCATCCTTTCGCTATTCTCATTCCCTCGACCACAATTTTTACACGGATGACATCGATGTTCTCGTCATTCTGCGCTGAAAATTATGAATCTCTTTGAATATCCTTTGCAGTTGTTTCTTCACCTTTTTATTCACGGCTTTAAAATCTTTAAAGTCGGCTAACTCGCTCGTTCTTCCACTTCTTTCCTTCTCATTTTGCCACTCTGTTAACCCTTGCCACTTGTCTTTTTGCGCCTTTTAAGCGAAACTTTGCCATTTGTCGATTGATCGCTTTCGCCTTCTTATTTGCGCCACGATTCTTCTAAATAAATGTTTGTTGTCTAAGCTTTGTTAGTCAGAAATGTATTTACACGATTAAGTAATTTTATCTCGGTTTTTTCTTATTAATGTCGCGTTATAAATTTTTAATCAACAATCTTCATTACAGATTTCATATCCGCGAAACGCTTTCATCTTCTTTTTTTCACCGTATGATAATCTTCACCGATAAAATGAAATTTTATCGCATTGAAATGTTCCTACAAATACTCGATAAATTTAAAATTTTTCCTCCTTCCTATTTAATTTAATAGAATTCTCCGATAATTCCACACATTTTTTTGCACGATTTGAAATATTATTTTAACGGTCCGTTTCCCCGTGTATCCGAATATAATCCGAAGATAATATATATTTGCAGCGTAGTTTCGTTTCGATCAAAACGAAATTACACAACTCAAGATGCATAACCTCGTTTCCTTGTGTGTGCATCGATGACTGCTTTGAAACGGCGGGCAACGTCTTCGAAGAGAGAAGGGTCGAACGTGACACGCAGATGTAAAACGAGAGAATCAGTCGATGACTCTCGTCTGGAATCTCAATTGCAATCGGTAGCTTGTTACTGAAAGAAAAGAGAGGAGAAAAAAAAAGTGGAGGAGGAGGATGGTGGATCAAAGGAAGAAAGTTTCACTCGAGAAGGAGGGATCGATCCGTAATTTTGCTTTTTCATTTTCCCAATTTCCTTTCATCAATCCGCACCGATATTAA